CCACCCCCACCCCCGGCTGACTGACCCACCCCCACACGGGCTTGTCCCAGTCCTGCCCCAAAGCCAGCCTTTTCCCTGCCTGCGGGTCCTACTCAGCCTTCAGGTATCGGACTGTACAAATTCAATCCACGTGTAGAGAAGGAAGGAAGGAAGGAAATCATGCCCTAATGCAGATGACAGCACCGAGGGGAACCTGTGACACGCCCAGATCCCCAGGCAGTGGCAGCACTGGCATCCTCCCCTCCAGTGACTTTTGCAACCCGCACAGGGTGGTGCTGGGAGGGAGCCCGCCAGCTCTCCCCTGACCCTGCAGGAGCTGCTGCTGTCCTCTCCTCTCCACGGCAGGGGTGCAAAGGGGAAAACCAGGACAGCCTTTTCCATGTTGAGACCCCTTCCCCGGCCCCCGACATCTCCCTGGAACATGGAAAGTCCTAACGCACGGTGCCCTGTTCCCCGCTCTTCACGACCCCCTGCCCTCGGCCCACCGCATCTGCTGGCCTTTACCACACAGCTGCCACACGGCCACCTCCCAAGAGGCCGTCACTGTGATCTACGCCCCCCCAAATGCATGTTTCTCTTCTACCAGGACAGCACAATTAACATCCCCACCAGTTAACGATGCCGGATTATATTTCACCTGCACCCAAATGTGGGCCATGAAGGCAATAAAATAAATGATGGCGCAGCTAATCGAGCCCCAGGATTTGAGGGTCTGGAGGAGGCGCACCTGCCCCATCCCGGAGGCCCGAGCCCCACGTCAGTGCCCAGAGCTGGGCCCTCTGCAAGGCTCCCCGGACGTAAGGAGGGAAACGAGCCGGCTGCCATCCCCTCTGAGAGCAGACCAGACGGGCGCCACTTCGGTTGCCCAGGGAGGAAACGGGCGGATTAGGGCAGGGGGTTGTCCCCTCCTGGGGATCGCCATCCAGACCTCCCTCCTCCCTTCCACCTCCTGCTCCACCCTCCTCGGCTGTAAGTCAGGCCAGCCCCCCACAATCAAGCCCCTTGTTCTCCCTGGGGCTCCTGCTCAGGGCAACAGGGAGGACCTAGGCCAAGAGAGGGGCCCCTCAGGGTATGTCTGGCTCCCACCCAACAAGCCACGTTCCCCGGGAACTAGAAGGGCAGGGTCAAGCTAGCACACCCCCCAATGTCACCACCCTTTGGATGGAGCTCTGGGCTGGGAGGCAGGGATCCAGGGGCCAGGCTGCCAGGAGCTGCCACTGATACCCCGAGGTGGTGGTGGCCCATGCAGTGGGCACAGCTGGTGCCAGCTTCCTGCCAGCTTCATTCCACAACCTGGATGTGGTGGCTGGAGGCCGGACCTATGGCCCAGGATGGCCTTCTCTGCACTAAAGCAGCCCACTGACCGGTTTCCTCAGGGCTGTTTCAGAAGACAAGGGCGGGCGGCAAGGGCTTGGCTCCTCATTTCTGGGGCAAGGAAGAGGCAGGAGAGGCCCGGATCGTCACAAGGGGACTCTAGGCCTCCTCAGCTGTTTGGGGGGGGGGGCCGGGGAGGGCCTTGCCCCAGGTCACCAGCATGGCTAGACAGGCAGGTCCCGCATGAGCGCTGTTCCCCATCTCTGTCTGCCTTTCCTGGCCTCCTCTCGCTCCTCCCATAGGCACTTGGGTTCCCCAGAGTCTCCTGCTCCCACCCCAGGACCCAGAGGACTGTTACTCAGACAGTGTTTGGCAAAACTAAAGTTGAGTCACCTGGGGACTCCTCCAGGTAAGTAGATAAAAGTCACTGCCTCCCCTGGGGAGGGACCAGGTGGGTGCTCTGGGAGCCGTAACCAGGAGATGGAGGGCCCTGCGTCAAGAGGCTCGCTCAGCTGCCAGGCAGGGCTGGGGAGGAACAGGAGGGACTTGCGGGCAGAGAGGCTGGTCCAGCCCCAGCTGTGCCCCTCTGAGGCTGAGAGACTTTGGAATTGGCTGCTCGGGGCCTCAGACTGCTGACCTGTGAAAGGGAGACACGAGCACGGTCCTTGTGGGGCTGCCCCGTGTGAAGGTGAGCCTTAGCAGAGCAGACAGCGGTGCTCAGTAACCACCAGCCTCGCCTTGGACAGAAGGTTGACTCTACTTCCATTTGCATGTGGTAGCTGGGCCCACAACCATCTGCGGTGGGGCCATGCGACACCTTAGTCCCTGCACTCTCCTGGGCAGAGCTGCCCAGCTCAGGGGCTTCTCAGGATGTACCTGCATCTCCCCTCCTGCCCCGGAGGGGAGGGCTCAGCTCAGCTTCCTGCTTTCATCTTGGCCCCCAGCACCCCCATGCCAGCCCCTTGGCCTCTGTACCCTGTCCCCAGCGTCCCTCTGGTAGGTACCCACAGGACCCATGCATGGGATACCTGCAAAGGGCTGCACATTGTCTGCCTGACAGCCCCGACAGCACTGCCTCGAGTCCCTGTGGCTCCAGGCTGTACAGCCCTTTACAGCTTGTCTCTCCTGGCCTTCAGCAGATCTCCCCATCTCTAAGTTTTCGTTTTTCCGTCAGCACAGGCTCAGAGCCAGGCTGTTCTTATCTCAGCTGTGTGACCCAAAGCAAGTCACTTAACCTCTCTGGGTCTCCGTTGCCTCATCTGTGAAATTGGGACAATATGCTTCCTCATGGGGTCATTAAGAGCATAAAATGAGTCAGTGCAGACAGTAAAAGACGTTGAACGTGCTGGCATGCAGTTGGCTCACGGTGGAAGCAGCTATTCTGTTACTTGGCAGGGGATCAGTGTGCTGAAGGGGCTGTTCACGCAGTCAGGTGGGGTTAGGGGCACCAGTAGAGGAGGGGAAGCTCTCTGGGTGACAGGAGGGAGCTGTCAGCATGCAGGGGAAGGGGAAGCATGGTGACTCGACCCAGAGAGAGGGTCACCAGAGAGGGATGCAGCCGGGGAACCCATGCTCCGCCTGGCTCTCTGCTCTCCCTTTGAGCTGCTGCTGGGGCTCCTGATGGCCAGGCCCTGCCAGAAGCCAGGGGTTCAGGGACCCACTGGTGACCAACAGCCTCCTAGGCCCAGAGTAGGCTGAGGAGTGATCTGAAGGGACAGCTGCTCAGCCTTTTAAAGTCCAGCGGGCCTTGGAACAAGATGCAGGCGGGGGTGGTCAAGGGGGTGGCATTTCAAAGAGGTTAAGAGCACCCATAGACTCTGGGTCAGAAAGAGCAGGGTGCCTGCCTTGGCTCTGCTATTTACCCGCTATGGACAGTTGGGTAACCAACTGTCCCAGGCTGCCCGGAATGTGTGCTAAAACTGGGAAAATCCTGGACAAACCAGGACCTGTGTGTCACCCTGGACCTGGGGGCAAGGACCTCAAGTCTGTGAGCCTCGGCTTCCTCATCTGTAACATGGGGAAGGAGCCCTCTAGCTGCTGGAGTAGAGCTGGGACACCACACTGGACAGGCCGCTGGGAAAGTCAATGCAGAGCCGGCAGGGCGGATGGGATGGGCGTGGGGCTCCAGCCCTTGCTTGTCACCACAAAATGGATCGGAGGGTGTTTTTTCCCCGCCCAGGGGATTTAATAGTCAGCAGTTATTTAACCTCGCATTTCCAATGGGTAGGAAAGCCACAAATAAGTAAATTCAGGCAGCAGGGCACAATTATTGAGCTGGTGCTCTATTTCCCGATCTGGTCTCCAGCCCGGGCCGGCACCAGGTCGATAATAATTTATGACACAACCCCCACAGTAGAGGAGAGGTGGCCAAAAAGCCACATTCGCTTGGAGTCACCCTCCCGTACCAGTTCTGTGTCACAGGTGGCTGTGATGCTGGGGTGGGGGATAGGGGGGAGACCAGCGGCCCAGGGAACAGGGGAGGAGGCAGAAAGTGGAGGCTGAGGGCAGGCATCACAGGAGGAGAGGAGGGGGTGGGTAGCTAGGGTGCTCCCAGGCCTCGTCTCTGACTACCAACCAGGCCCACATCCTGTGGCAGAAGCGTCACAAGACTAAAATGGGGCATCGGGACAGCAGTGGGTCTCTCCACCAAGCAGTTTGAGTTTTGTCTCCGGTGGGAGCCGAGGGGAGCAGGGCCTGAGACAAGGGTCCTGCGCCCGAGCTCTCAGGAAGAACCTAAGGGAAGCAGGGAGCCGGCAGGGCGGGGGACGAGCCCAGCAGAGTCTTGGTCAGAGGAACTCAAGAGCAGAAATCACACTACAGCGTTGCCTCACTGAGGCAGGCAGGGCCCAGCTGCCTGGAGGAAGAGGGGTGGGGCAGCTGGAGTCCTGGGCAACCAACACTCTCAGCGCGCTGGTAAAGGGGTTCAGGGCCCCCCAGGGCCCCCACCACAGGGTCTCCAGCCCACAGAGCAGTAGCCAGCATTTACCCAGCCGCGGAAAGCGCAGGGCTGTGATTTGGTTTCATAATTTACACAGCTGATTTCATCATGTTTCATGTTCTGTCATGTTTCCTGCCGTGACAATTTCATCCTTCCCTCTGGGGGCCTTAGGATGTTAAACTGGGATGTTGGGGGGGGGGGGAGGTGGCACCAAGCTAAGCTGTCAGCCCAGCTGGTGAGCGGGAGGGCCAAGGGAGGGCCAGGGGTTTCCCAGACAGTTGGGCTGAGGGGCGGAGGCCGGGGGAAGAGGCTTTACTGAGTATGCTGTCTCCCGGGTTATAATAATAATAGCTGACTTATATTGTGCGGAGAGTGCCAGCCTGGTCCTTAGGGGGTTCACGTGATACCTCCTTTGATCCTCACCACAGGCCTTAAAGGGGATAACACACTGGCCCCCCGGGGCACAGTTTCTGAAGCTGCAGGAGCGGGCTGTGCTCAGACCTCTGACTCCAGGCTGTGAACCGCCTCTTCTTCCTGTAACAGCCCTCCTAACCCTGTGGCCACCCCACAGCGCAGCGCCCAAGGAGGCAGCCAAGCCTCAGGAGGTCAAGGGCTCATCCAAGGTTGTCTCTCTCTGAAGCGCTCTCCCTGAGTGCACTTGGCCTGCACCGACTCTCACGCCAAGTCCACTCTCTCACCTCCCCAGCCTCCATCTATCTCCACTGTTACCCTAGCCCCATCTGGGGAGGCCTTAGGCTCCATTTTCTGACAGGAGCTGCGCAGAAACCTAATTTGCAAGCCATGGACAGGGGAAAGGTAGCCTGGCTGCCCACTCTTAATTAAGGGGACGCCCTTCTGAGGGCCTCAGAAACAGCCTTCCCACATCAGGGCCTACAGCTTGCCCTGGTGAATTCATAAGGCCAGCCTGGGCCCCTTCCACTATCCCCCACCTACTGGAAAACGGGGCTGCCCCCTCCTTGGCCTATATCAGTGGTTGTCCTGGGGTGGCTGGTGGTACTGCATAGTGCTGACCCCCTCCCTGGCCCTCATCAGGGACATTATGGCCATCCAGGGTGGCTGGTGGCACCGCATATTCTCAAAGCCAGCCGCCCAGGGCCGGACGAGTGGTGCGTTGGCTAGGAATTGGCTTGGGACACCAGCTCTGAGCAGCAGGTCCCCGGTTTGGATCCCACATGAGGGCCAGTGACACTGCCCTCTACAGCTAAGATGGTGAACAACAGCTCCACCTGGAGCTGGGCTGCCGTGAGTCATCGGCGACATAGCCAGCAGCCCCTACTGCAGTGGGCTGCCATAAGCTACCGTGTGTGGCCAGCAGCCAGCGTGAGCGGCCGGCAGCCGGTGTGAGCTGCCAAGAGCTGCCGTGAGCGGCCATCCAGTGGCTGGTGACCGATCTACCTCACCTGGGAAGAACGCAATGATAAACCAACCTGGGCCAGTGAAGCGACATCCTCAACTAAGCTGAAGAACAAGGGGGCAGCGGCTTGTCTGTTCCCCTTCCCCGATTCCCCAACGCTGTTCCCCGCCCCCAATTCCCCAATAAAACCTTAGAAGAAAAAAAAAAGGCCAACCACCCAGAGAGACTCTGAAAAGAGCTTGGAGGAGGGCTCCAACTTCCACCCACTGATGCCTCCCCTTTTCTTGTCTTTTCTCTCCGCCTGGCTCTTAAAAAAAATTAAACAAGATGGTTTCATCTTGGGAGAATTAGTATTCCAGGCAGGGCTGGGGGATGTGATCGGAATGTCAAGGCTAGAGCCACAGAGCTTCAAGGGAAGGGAAGAGGTGCTGCTGTGCCTGGCGGGGGCCCTGGGGTGGGGACAGAGAGCCCTGACCCACCAAGGAGGCATGGTGGGCCTCGATGCCATAGGAAGATTGAGGCCGGGTGTGGCCCAGGGCCAGGCATCAGGGCCAGGCCCAGGACTGGAGGAGGAGATGGGGGCGGCTCAGGGCAGACACTGTGTCTGGCCAGGACATGTGGCCTCCTGCGGCCCTAGTCCAGCTCATCTACCTCCTCCATTCTCTCTCTCATTTGGCCCTCATTTGCTGAAGGTGTGTGTGCCTACTGTGTGCCAGGCACTGAGCTAGGTGCTGGGATGCAAAGGGCAGGGTCACGCCTCTCCTCACCACTGCATGTCGCCCTGCACAGGGCCATGCCTCGGCACACAGCAGGCACTTACCAAAGACTGGTAAAGTGGATTCATGAACATCGTGAGGCATCTCCCAAAGCCTACTTTGAAGAACACGCAAATCCTGGGAGGTTAACAAGAAACCAGTGAAGCGAACAGAGTTAAACTGGTGTCTTTGAAGCAGAACTTCCTCATATGCACTGTGAACCTATGGAGGGAGCTCTAGCCCCCAGCCTCCCACCTGTCTGAGCATAGCCCTCTAGTCCCTGGCCACCCAGGAGACGCTGCTGTGGGCACATAGCCGGGTCGAGAGTGGGTTTGCATTTG